TACTGTCGTATGTCTGTCATTTCTTATGAATAATATGCCGGGCAGCGAGACTTCAGCGTTTATCATTCCAGTTTGCAACCATGTCTCCGTGACACCGATGATATCACATGGCTACGAAATTTGGCGATTTTTCACTTTGTCCAGCTTATTGAAAAGGCGTTGAGCATTGGAATAAAGGTATAGTATTTCGTCGATCGTTAGGAACCCACAGGGAACTCAAGGACTGAAGTATGTTAGAATGATGACCGATGCGAGGTCGGTCATTATTGGCTTTTTTGATGGGATGAAGATGGCACGCCGTTCGCAACTTGATTTGCCAAGTTACGTACCATTCCTCGCCCGGAGCTACGGCAGAATGGCGTGACCGAACGGTAAAGTGATGCTCCTGCGTAATCGTTGGTAAGTTTGCTTTTTCAGTTAGGCTCAGTTCTGTTCATTGCAAGGCTCCAGCAGCTTTTAACCGTAGTTCAGATAGAAGGCTTTTCCGCTACCGCCGCCAACGTTCTAACACTTCCGTTACTATCTGCTCTGACTGAAACAGGAGATTTAGGATTCTTGGGCCGCTTCCTCTATAATTTGATGAGAGAGGTATACTCTTGAGCAATCGCGCCATAACTTTGTCCAAGGAAATTGATTCACGAATGAACCGCCACTGTTCCAAATGCTAATTGCCGGCCTCATAATAATCGTGGGAATGAAGTTCTGGTACGCCATGAATAAAGATTGTGCCTAGACAATCCAGCTTGCTGTGTTCTTCCAAGTTGTTTCGCTTTGATGGACGCGTGCTCTAAGGGACAACAGGATAAATGCTCACCTTACAGGACCCGTGTAGTAACACACTTGCAGAGAGCAAAAGGTTTTTCACATAATTGGCTGATTCCAGTGTTACTCTACTTATTCTGGGTTCGACATAGTGTGCAGAGTTTGGGTTACAAGTACCTCTCACTAGGTTTGTGGGTTTAGCTTTTATCTTCATCAAATTGCACAGTGAGTTCCACTGGTCTTGGTCGTCAGACATCTTAGCCTGAAATGTGATGATGGTAGATTCGGAGACATTTGTGCACACGACAGTCAGGTCGTTGTGGTTGGTTCCATCTTTTGTTGATCATTGGGCCCCGCTTTATGCCAAGTGATGATGGTCTACCGTTGGTTGCTGTATTGGCGTTAGCGCTGCTTGCAACATAGAGTACACTAATGTAGCCTCCCGAGGGACTAGTGCATTGATCACTGCTTATGTGCCCGGAGTCTGGTGAGATCTTAACTTGACCAGAGATCACTTTTTACAAGCTGTCAAGACCGGCTGAATTCGATCGATCACACCTTTCGCGCGGTGTCTGATTTTCGTAGTCCTGAGTACCATTTTTCTCTCAGACCTACGGTCGGTTTTCGCCTGGCTTTCTTCCAAATAGCTAGATGATGACAATGGGAACCTGGTCAATCATGGTTTGAGGGAAGCAAATGTTGCACCGTTACTTCTCTTAGAAACTACTGTGTTTTCCTTGTGCGTACTCGCTTCCAGTGACACAAGCTTAGCGTTCATTCGTTGTTCAACTTCTTTATCCAACCGGTCGCATTTTTGCACTGGGAGCATTATACATTTAATTAGTGGGATGGTCAAACACGCAACAAAAATTCAGAGTTCGTCTTGGGGGCTGTCCCGATCTCATCCGTATTGTTATGAAAGCTTTGCACACTTTATATGGCCCCATTCGAAACAGTGTGAGCAAGGTAAACCAAAGTTGTCTAACCGGTTATATTCTGCGGACCTACATCTACCTTTCGACTGGAGCCCTTTCACCTTCGCATCTACTTGCTTTCTGCTACGCAGCATCGTGTTGCTAGCTTACCTAGTAAGCTTGTTGACGTTACGAACTTTTCCGACTAGTCCGTTGCGCATCCTAGTCAGAGGGATGGAAGTAAGTTCGTCGGCAGTCAAGGTGACAGTAGTTGATTCAGATTCAGGCGATTAACTCTGAGAGTTGTTTTTACTTTGCGTTTCAAAAGGTGGCAGCATATGTGACTTGGGGTGTTTAGTACTTTATAAGCTAATAGAAGTACCCACGTAGCCACCGGTAACGTCCACTAAACACTCCAATTGTCTTCAGTCGTTGCTGGTACGGAAGGTTGAACGATCCCTTGATAAATTTCCTTGCTCGACCTTGGGGGGTGTTGCAAGCTCATGCTTTGGTCAAGGATGCCGGGCCTGGATTTGGTGTTTGAATTGGGGTCGCACGGACGCATTAAGCATCAGAGAGAAGTTGGATGAATCCAAACTTTCGAATGCCTTCCGCAAGAGACCAACTTGCTGGATTGCACTTGTTGTACCGAACTCTGACTGCATAGAACAACCGAGTTCGTCCTGTTCCAGCACACCGAGGACATGCCCCCGAGAGTTTGTCTGCAGATCGTACGCCCAAAGCTTGTAGATGTGGATGTTTCGATAGATAATATGTATAAAGCAGCGCTTGTTCACATTGAATGGCAGTGCGTTCCCCATTGACCAATGCCATGGCTCAGGGAGGCAGCGCGGGAGGAGCTCTTGGTCGTCCATCTCATTGACTTCCCGCCAAATGTTTATGTCGCCAGCGATGAGTAAAGATTTTGAAGCTATAACTCTCGCTAGGTTAATAATGTCTAAGAAGAGAAGAGGCCCAAGCACCGAAACATACGGTCCACTGTGCATTTTTTGAATAGAGTCGGAGAGAGGTATTCATACTCTAACTTCCAGTTGCTGTTCGTGTAGGAAGTTACCGATCGATCTAAATAATCTATCTCTGATGCATTAGTGCTACAGTTTGTAAAGCAGGATTCAAGGATCCAAGCGACCGAAGGCTTTCGAAAACTCCAAGTAGATAACATCGGCTCCTGTCTTCCCGTCAACTGTTTCGGTCGAGTTGTCACGTGCTATCAGCAGCTTCGTGTGACATGATCGATGTTGACGACAGCCGTGCTGCCCCGGCGCAATGCGGTCGTAAGTTTCCACGTAGTCCATCATTACGCCTGCGATGATTGCTTCCAAGATGTTGGTGAACACAGGGCGAAGCGTTACCGGGTGGTAATTGAGATAATCTGTAGATAGGGTTTATAATATCCTGATTACACTTTGACGGAAATTTGCTTTCGTCTAGAAGACGCAGAAAGAATCCGGCAAGTGGTTCGGCTAGGTGCATGGCTGCTCCCTGCAGTGCTTTAGGGTTGTACCTCATCCACCCCGGGAAAGCTGTCTGTACGCCAGGATAATAGCATTTTCAGCACCGTTTCTGCAGTGAATGTGAAAAGTCAAACAAAAAGCTATACTTATCCGATGTCAAGATTACCTTTTCTGTTGTACAGCCACCTAAGCTTAAATTTCCACCTGCAACTAAGGGCTGAAAGGAAAGCCAGTGATCCCACCAATTCACACAGCACAACACACCTTGCTTAATAAGGTCAGTGCAGCATTTATATTTGAAAATCAAGAACAAGGGACAGAAGGTGAACAATTGTTTTCGATGAATTCATCGTCAGACCTGTACAATCATATGGGTTAAGAGCAATGGAAGTAACGGTGGTTTCTATCAGTTCAAATGAAATTGGATCACGTGCCAACCAGGGGCATAAACCAGCAATAAACGTAAACGATAAGCGAAAACTAGGACAAAGATGTAGTCAAATGATTGCTTCTGGCCTCCGAATCATCATCTTTATCTGGCCAGGGTAACTTGAGAGCTTCGATTAGTTTCTTTTGTGAATACAAAAGCGGTTGATACAACCGTATACTGATTGCCTCAGCTGTAGCGAGGGTGCGGAGGCGCAGGCCTTTCGATTGGAGTGGCGGAACCACTATTACTTCCATTGCTCTTTACCCATATGATTGTAAACCCGTGGAAAACACGTGAAAACCCGTGGACTGGTAGAAAATGGCAGTTGAACCCCCCATAATAGATGTTCTCAAGAAACGTCTCTATTCTATCCCTGCATAAACCCCAACCATTGAAACCCTCCATAGTTGAGCATTGTGCACATGCAAATACCATATGTCTTTTTGTGGGTATGGCCTATCTGTGCCACCAGAAAATATACATTGTTATCATAAATGAACCAGGGAATCTTGACAGTATATACTCAAGAATGAGCTCTAGACACAAGTACCTAGTGCAGCCTACGCTAATACGGCAAGAAAGACTAGCTGCTGGCATTTTTGTAGCTGTTTGCTTTAAATACACAATATTTTAAATTTCACCTACCAAATCGCTGCTTATTTTCATTAGTTTTTCAGCCGTTCTTTTTCTGAATACTGGATTGGATGCTTACTCACGAAAAGATATTTTAATTTGCTTGCGCTTTTTGAACTAGTAAAAGCAGAAGCAAAATTAGCCAAACCCGGGTTAATGCAATTTTTCTGTCTTAAAGCATTGTTCCATTACACTGACCGACCTTGATGTCCGTCTAGCAATCCCCATTCCCTGAGTACGTTACATTACAGTTACACATCGATTTACCCCTGAGTACGAAGATGCACTTTAGCCGAGTGTAACGTACACGATTTCATCCTCTATTACCTCAAGCATTTTCTTTTTATCATTACCACTGGTAAGTATGCTGGTTTATCCGCTTGAGAGTAAAGATTAATGAGCGATTTTCTGCAATTATCATTGAACATAGACCACACGTGGGGATGTCAAAGTCCCAAACCGGTGTGAGAGTCGTGTATTGGCATCATGAGACTAAACGCGGGGCATGACTCTCACCACCCTGCAACAACACCCACATAGTGTACATACTTATTGCCCTACTGGATTCGTGCTATGGGTTAGGACACATGCGGGTTGGATAAATACTTTGTTAAAACTAGTAACTTCGTTACCATAGTTGCGAACACATGGCAACCAGGAGAACACGCCAGTTATTGTTGGTTGATCATTCTTCCAAGCTAACTTTGTAAACGATCACATGCATGTAGAGAAACATGTGCTGTTGCGTTTATATATTTCTATGAGTAGCCACACTATGATGGCAAGCGAAGCCGTTATCCGGGCGACACTCGTATGTTACTCCTGTAGAATGAAAATCTTTCTGGAAACTTTATTCTCGTTCTTTCCATTTATTTTGTTCAATGCTTTTGGTAAGTATTGCTTGTTTTTTACTCCTAAATCCTTAGTAGCATATAAGACGTATGATTATCAGTAGAGGCCTTTAACTCTGCTTAACTAATGTCTGAGTTACGGCACGCAGTCATCATGGTCTGGTCTGCATATAATTTCATTTAATCATGTGCTCGTATTCTATCCCGTTAGGATGTGGGTGTGATTTCTATGCTCCTCTGTCCGGTTGATATCCTTTCGGAATGCTTCCACACGTTCCAGTCCACTCGATCCAACATGCATCAGTCTTTTGAGTAGCGTAACACATTATTACATGTCAACCTGTACCTCCCAAATGCGCATTGCGCCACCTAACTCGGTCTGTCTGTTGTTTCTCAGCTGAATCCACATATTTGCTGTTTCACAATAGAAATACACTCCCGTTCTCAAGGCAAAAACGTCCGAATTATCATGATGAGTATACGATTAACAAGCGAAGAATCCAGTCACCATGTTTCGTCTATCCAGTGGTGAACACTTTGGAAAAGAGCGGAGCTGCAGCACCGCAGTAGCGTATCTTTTGCCCACACATGTCACACTCTACCAAATCAATGGTTGTAGAAAGTATTTCAAGTGAAAGAGCAATTAAGTATCGTGAGTTATCTAGATTTTTATGAAGCCCTAGGTCATCCAGATGCCATAAATGACACACAACTGTATGTTCGTGTATAGTGCATACGTTTGCATATGAGTTCACCTGCAACATCATGTAATCTGACAGTGAAAGTTCATGACCAGTTATGCAAATTAGCGCTCGTTAGACTTGGTACTTTACAGTACCCAAGAGTTAGACCTCGTCTATTTCTTGTTTACGGTATGACTTTGAGCGTCTGATCAGTTAGGTCCTGCAACCTAACGGAGAATGCTAGGCGAGGGAAAGCGGTTGGTAACCAAGACAATAACGAATAACTTCAATGAGAACTAGACAGCGTTAGCAGTTCTGGCAAGGTTTTAACTAATTAATCATCCTAATTACACAAGATTCATTGTAAGATGTAGCTACCGTTACATTACTTTACAGAATAAGGCAAAAAGGGTGATGCAGTTAACTGTCAACCCGGACTATAGCAGCTACGCATCTAATCACATGCACCCAAAGAACCTTGCCCACAGGACTAGCGGAACCCGTTCCATTATTATAACATGGATTCGATTTTACTTTTCCTTATATATATATATCTATATATATGGTGGCAGTAGTAGCATTAGCACTCGTTTCGTTCGGCGAGTGGTTGTTATAGTAATATGTCGCAGTTACTGTAACTAACAATGAGGCGCATGCCTAGAACCAACGCCCAAAAACTAATTGCACTGCTTCACTCACAACGCTTCTCACATACCCATTCCAATTTCAGTGTAAGATCTAAGAAAAATGCTTGGGATTAGCGCGATTTGGAGACTCGAATGTTTCGGCGTCGGCTCATACTTATCAACACGTTTAATGCCCGTTAATGTAGAACTAACCAGGATGGTTTTCAAAATACATGCCCAAATAATGATAGCATTTAGTTGTGTTGAGTATCCCAAGAGATTGATGGCATTTTATGAACATCTAGCTTGCGCAGGTTCGATGACTGCCTGGCACAAATATCGTGTGCTTTTAGAAAGAAGACCCTAATTTTAGTGAAATTACTATAATCAGATTTACGATGACAATGCTGTTTGATCCTGGCACTGTCAGCTGTACAGTGCTTTCTGTCTCGGTAGTCATCTTGCTGGGATTATAGCGGTGTTAAATTGGACGAAAATGCGCCCATTGGCGTTATACTTGAGCACAGCTTTAGTGTACCCAGTACTCGAAAAGAAAATTAACTTCGCTGCTGCGTCCGTTGGTTCAAATTTTGTGAAGTCCGTCGTAACAAGCTTTGAGACAATGTACTGCCAACGTTATTAGATTGTTGCAGACTTCGTACCAACAGAGACACCTTAACAAGCTCCCATTAAACCGTACTGGCCAAATCTCCTTCGTGCCGCTGCAGAGGATATTGAAACTGTGTTAACACTACATAGTCTCACATATTCGTGTCGACGGAAGTGTGGTTGTGTGCACATCAACCAGCTGTGGTAAATTTTCTCATCCCCGTATTCCATCGGTCAATTATGGGAATAAAACTCTCCACCATACATATGCGCGGCCATGGTTTAATCCAAAAAGCAATGAGGATGTGATACAACTGCCGTGACTAAGTAAATTGTCACGGTATAATGCCTATACTTGTCTTCCAATTTAGTGTAAGTTTTTAACTTGCAACAGAAAGACTGAATACTCACTGCTGACGATTCCGAAAAGGATGAAATGGCTTTCCAGTATTACTCAGGTTGTGCACCGACTATCTGAATAATTTGGTCTGTGACAATCTCCAATAAAAATTTAATCTAAAGCTGATCTTTCACAGATTTGGGGACGAATCCTTGGAGACCCCCAACGCTTTACTGGGACAGATGTATGTGTTTTTCTAAGCAGTAGTGAAAACATTCCGACCGCTTCTCCGGACAACATGACTGGAATTTACCAGTTTAGCAGAATAATAAAAAAGGAAATCAACTCTGAAATTCCAGTTCAGACCGTCAGTGAGGTTAGCTGGAAGTCAACTGTCTGCTGAGCATTTCAATGGTTCAATGGATTTATCACGGGCAAAAAAGCAAAGCTTGAAAATTTCCTCAGATAAAGAGTAAAAACAGTATGTGAATGTATCAACAGAAACAAAAGTATTGCAAGCATGGTTTCGTCATGATATATCTCAGTGACATTGGCCAAGTTTTTGGTGCATGTAATGCAAGGATTCATGAAATTGAGTTCCGAATTCAGTCAGTGTAGAAGCGGAGATGATGGAAATTGAGAATTTTCCAGTGCTGGGACACACGACGGAAGATAAAATGCTGGCAGCACCCCAGCCGACTGTCCTGTGTGGTTAACTTCAAGTGATGACCACGCAGCAACTTACTTGCAACTTACTTTCAATAAGTGTCGAAATGCGTGGTTTGGATCCTTTAGGATCTAAAACACCGAAATAAGATCACAGCGTACGTGACGGTATTGACCACCGGAAACTCCTAGTGTCTGTTGTCTATGTTGGTAAAGGAGATGAGCAAGCCTATAACAATTTTGTTGGTCTTTTTTGGGCAGTCTCAAGAGCAGTAAGCTCATGCTTTTTCCAGACTTACCAGACCTGGATGGCGTATTCAAAATGTGGCCTCACGTAAGTCTAGAGCATTTGTGTAAAGATGGTTTGATCAAACCGGTCAAACGCTCTACACAAGTGACCCACGTGCTGATTGCCTTATCTTGCTGCTTTTTCGGCCTGTTTTGAGCAACTCAGATCGGTCTGTATGAGGCCTCCAAGATCAATTTCATGGGTAATACGTTGAAAACAGCGTTCTCCTAGCCTGTATGCGTAAGTTCGCTGGTGGTGTGTGCCAGTACTCGACGTTTGTTAGCGTTGAACTCCAGCATCATCCGAACTGACCAAACGTAAGCACTGTTGAGATCACCTTGTAATGACAAATGGTAGGTTACGGTTCTGTTGGTCTGACAGATTTTGAGAAGTTCACGAAAAGTACAACGTTTGAATCGATCACCCAAACGAGGTCGTAAATTAAGACGAAGGAAGCCTTGGTCCTAGTACCGAGTCTTGTGGAACGCCACATTGCACCTCTATCGTGTCTGATAACACGACGTTGCTTTAAGTATATACATATCCAACCCAGGATAAGGTTTCCGATTCCACAGCCCAGAAGCTTGCGAAGGAAGAGGTTGTGATCAAGACGATCAAATGTTTTTGAGAAATCGAGGTACACAGCGTCAACTTCTTCCTCCGCGTAGACAGATTTCGTCCAGCTCGCACGGGTTAACAAGCTATTAGTGGGAAATGAGTATTGCTCCGAGGCGATGATACCGCAGCTTTCGAAGTATTCCTTGAGGTTCTCTGCATTAGCAGATTCCATTAACTCATAAAAACTGGGAGAAGGGTTATCGCATCGTAGTTGACAGGTTGGTAGGGGTTGTCCTCCATTGTAAATGGGAGTCAGTACTCCATTCTCCCACGCGGCCGGGACCTTTATGTTGTCGAAACAATGTTGGAAAAACCGGGACAGCGGTTCAGCCAGCATTTTGGCCGCCACTTTCAATAGCCTTGGGTGTAAGTTGTCCGCACAAAGCGCAGTGCACACACGCAGTGACATCAGTCGCTTTCTTATGTCCGTGGTAGTAAATGCTATGTGGCTAAGTTTTGGTGGTGGCGTGAACGGTTTAACAATTGTAGGCGATATCAGTGAGTTCAAGAAACTACAACTGAATTGTTGTCTAAGGGCATTGGCCGTTTCTTGCGCCGTTTGCGCTTGACCGCACTCGTCATTCAGTCAGGGAATACCACACTGTACTCTTTGGACTTTGATGACATACTTGTAAAGTAGCTTGGGGTTGGAGCAGAATCACTTCGCTAAATCCTGCTGATGTTTCATCTTATCCTCCATCTGAGAAACTGCAATGATTAGATTGATTGCGACAGTCGTCATGAAAGGTAGAAACACCGTTTAGGGAGCTGTCAAACAAAAACACCAAAAATGCACAGAGCACTTATGGCTCCTTTTGGGGAGCAGAAAGAAGAGAGAAGCAAAACTTGCGTGAAGTGTCTTCGGGCAAGGCATAGCATTCTTTGAAGCAAAATGTTCCCGCCTAATCGTGTTAGTTCGACCCGCTTCTACTAATTTTATTAGGACTAACCAGGTTTAGTTTACTAACATATGCAGCGGTCGCCATAACGACAGGTACAAGTTAACGCAGTTTTGCGAACGCAACATTGGTGCACATAGTGACCGCGATTATAACGCAACCTATTGTGTTACCTAGCACTCAAAAGTGCTCGTTAGGTTCATATGGTCTCAGAATCGAATATACTCCCGTAGATAATCCTGGGGCGCCGTCGGATTTCACTTGAGCAGTAAATCGTCTTTACAAGTTACATGATCAACATGATGAACATGTTGCTATATCTTTGTAATTACGGAAGGAAAATAAGGGCGTATATAAGATAGAGATGAGGTTACTGAGAGGAGTTAACGGGCCGACCGAATTTAAGATCTCCGAATCTCACATAGGCACCGCTCACATATACTTTGGGAAAAGTTATTCAGGAAAATATTTTGTCTGGCATTTTTCAAGGTTCGTCTGGTTTGTTTGGGTTGGGTTTTACTAATTGCGATGATCATCCAATATGCCTTGAGTTCAGATCCCTAATAAGGTCGTCTATAATTCAAGGTTTTAAACGTGACCGAAACCGACAGCACATTGTACTGTTTAGAATGAGCCGTTCGTAAATATGCCCGTATTCGGTAACATGGTCAACTGCCGTAGGATATAGTACATCCCCCAGAAAGCTCAAATTCGGTCAAATGCTCCTAAAAGTAAAGCTTCTTAGAACTAATTTGGAATACTGGTAGCTCCTGGTTTTTTCTGCCAGTACCTGCTACCAAAGCTGCACTTATGATTTCACCACAACTGGTGACTGAACTTCTGCAATCCCATCACCCAACTCGGCGAGAAACGGTTACTGAATTAAATCCTGTTATCTTAGAACAAACGAAATAGTAAAACTGTCTACCTGCTACTTGTCTCCTTAGATCGACAAAGTTGTGCCATTCGTGTTATTGATAATTTTCAAACCATTTTTACGAATTCCAAGCAGAACCAAGGATTAAAATACGCAGACTAAGCGGGTTACCTACATCCGCTCCTAAACAGAAGCTTGAAGACGCAGCTAATTTATTCTATCATTACGAAATTCGATAACTTCAGGGTTAAGCTCCCCATGGATTTATTGAAAAATTAGAAGCAGGGGTTTCGCAGACCACTCAAGTGTTATCTCTGTAACAAACAATTATTATGGATATATTTGTCATTTTTCACTAAGTAAAATTTGCAGCATTAATCTGGTAAGGCGAACAGTGGCCTGCATGCACTAGGTACCGTAACCACAGGTCCACTAATTCGTTAAAATTACCGTGTTTCCCTAAACAACGATTTTTTGCATAAATATTGCATCTGGACCTGAATGGCTTGGCACATTTTGTAAGCAGTCTCTCTCGTCTTTTATTCACATCTACGATTAGCTCTTGAAGTGGACCCAGATAACCCCTGCTACGATGTGACTTGGTCGTATTCATCTGTTTCTGGCAAGTGTTACAAAGCCGGAAGTCGATCCGATATGTTGTCGTGGGACGATGCTCAACAGGCATGTGAGCATTTACTGGTCCCGAAGTCCTTTGTAAACGTTCATCTGTTGGAGCTCAACACTGGAAGAGCAGAGATGATCGCCGCGGCCAAACTAATGCTTACCGCTGGTTTTTTGGCCCAAGTTTGGACAGGGGCGAGAAGACTGCGTACGTTTGTGCAATTATTTTTATGATGGTACAATTGTGCATATTGAAAGTACCCGCTCTTTGGAAATAGGTTTTATTAACATTTATTTATCCGCTATGTTACCTGTGTAAGCATTTTACGCATCCAGTTTTTCTAACTGGGTTATCCGAAAATTGAAATGCACCTGTGGCACGGAGAGATTCGTAATGTTGGATTGTTGTTAGGCACTAATGAGAGAGATAAAGTAACCGGAGGTCAGACAATCGATTACATTTTCACCGTGGCATGCTCAGTAGATTTTCGAGCTAGTGCTGTGGTTGCTACTTGACTGAGGGATTCGGTGTTGCTCCCGCCTAGAATTACACTCGGCAACTACTCGCCTCTCTGTTTGGACCATTCAGGCACAAATATCTGAAGTTTAATGTGAAACTCATGGTGTAGTGGCCAACGACTGATTTGCTGAACAATTTGCCATTGAAACCCGAGAATAACATTTGACTCTGCCTCGACTACCATTAATTTAATAGTCATAACTAGAGTTAAAGAGATCGTGAGGTTCACGGCCGATACCGGCCAGCATGATAGATCCTAACTTGGATGCGTTTACAGTGATGGAAATGGTGGGGGTTTCCTTCCAAATATACCATAATTCCGGTCGAGACGGCGTAGCGAAATCCAACGCGTTGCGGGTATTTCAAAATCTAGTAACGCGAGCTTTTTCCTGAAATTTCTATCCAGAATAATGCTTAGTTAATGTTGATAATCAGTGATTCTGTGTTACACTTCATCTTCACCTTTTGAGGCATTCAGCTAACGGCATCGTATTGCATTATGCCAACGTACCGCGTACCGGAATTTTCACCAGGTGGATTTCGAGTACCAGGAGAACCGAATGATTAGTTAGCCGTTAGTCCGTATAGTGAACGATACATAAATTTATTACCGATATTGCAAGAATGATCAATAGCTTTCCTGTAGCATGCAGCAACAATTCCACATTTCCTCACCTCATTTGTAACTCAACAAAATCAAGATTGAACACATTGGCAAGTAAACTAAAATCCGATTATATTCCATTAGATAGACCTCGCTCATGCTGCATTTTACTATCAGTAACGCGATTGGTTTTTCTGTTGAAATCTTATCAACCATAGAGTCTTTTGGCGTTGTTCTTTCATCCGAATTTACAAAATGAAAGCTCGTTTGTCACACTTGTATAGGCCGCTTACTATGTCTATTACGGAGTCGATGCAACATAGTTACGGCAAAACACAGAGATTTGTTTCCAGTTCCACAATGACTGTCACCAACGTTACTTTATATTTCATACGGTAATTTAAGAAACATTTGCTTAGTGAAGATGTCTGTGCACCTTTCCTGCTTGTTTTAACCTGTTTGTTTGACTTTACTATCTGTGCTATGCACCATCATATCATCTTGATTAGTGCTACACTATTGCATGTTGAATGGCCTGTAATCAATTGGTTTTTACGGCGCCATGAGCACTATCGGAAAGAAAAACTACTTGAGTTTCACGTGAGTGGAACATATTAGCCACTGAATATCCTCCATCCCACTTTCGCCTATGAAAACAGTTACATTAAACTTGATCATCACAACCGTTTCCTTTGCTTCTGTATTAAATAAAGCGCATCACAAGTTTGGTAATCAAATCCACTTGTGAAAAATCACAGCGTTCCATGTTTTTCGTTTTGCTGGGGAAGTGCAGACTTCGATGAGATCAATTGGTTCAAACAGAAGTCGGTTTCATGTGGGATATTCTAGGTGCACGTTATTTGGATACGGTGGAGTGAAAGCATTCTAATTACTTCAGTATGACTGCCAATTACGTTTTGTTGAGGCATTCGGGAATACATCAGATTGTTTACCTTCCATCGTGACGAGACTGGACCTTAAGGCGGTGCGATGGGAAAGTGAATTTGACGTACACGTTGTGTGGATGGATTGCGAAGCGCAATCTCAAAGTAGACCCAATTTGCTGCTGCTTCATCAGCTACGGTCCTAGTGATCGAATGGTCAAGGTTCACTTCAATGGGAATCGCGGTCTACTTTAAGATTGCGCGTCGCAATCCATCCACACAACGTGTACGTCAAATTCACTTTCCTATCTGTTATTTGCCGTTGTGCCAAGCTTGGCCCGTCGTGACCCGGTGGCTTAGGGGTGGCGGTCACAACTAACATCTCAATGGTCCCGGGTTCGATGCCTGCTATCTCTATCTGATGAGAGGAAATAACCTCGAAACGCGTCATGGAGTGCATTGGTTTCAGGCGGGCAACACCCAATTTGCTGCTGCTTCATCAGCTACGGTCCTAGTGATCGAATGGTCAAGGTTCACTTCAATGGGAATCGCGGTCTACTTTGAGATTGCGCGTCGCAATCCATCCACACAACGTGTACGTCAAATTCACTTTCCTATCTGTTATTTGCCGTTGTGCCAAGCTTGGCCCGTCGTGACCCGGTGGCTTAGGGGTGGCGGTCACAACTAACATCTCAATGGTCCCGGGTTCGATGCCTGCTATCTCTATCTGATGAGAGGAAATAACCTCGAAACGCGTCATGGAGTGCATTGGTTTCAGGCGGGCAACACCCAATTTGCGGTGCGATGGTTTGAGTGCCTCAGTGATCCATTGAGCTATCCTGGGTGGTGCTTTTATCATCTTCAGAGCCACTCATACCACATTGGTCAATGGTTAGAGGCCAGACAAACTCAGCCTCCTGACCCTCCAGGTTGGGGGTTGTAGTTAAGGTGGCTCTTAACTCCATAAAACAAGCTCTCTGTAGTCCAGCACCAATACCTCGCTGTCTTGCGGCAAGGTTTATGAAACAAAGGCTTTGGTTGAGAACCCTAATCGTTCTCTTGTCTAGGCCTGGGTAACATGACAGTATTCTGCCCACACAATACAATGAACCTTCCTTCTAACAATTTCCTGATGCTCTGGCCGTCGCAGAGGATAATCATTTTCGCCCTATCTGCTACATCGAGCAACGTGGATAGGGATATGGATGCTACTGTTCAGACCTTCCCGTCTTCTTGCGTTTTTCATCCTTATCGTCCCGCTCCAACTTTACTTTTATCCCCCCTTTTTAATCCCCCAATTATTGGCCCTCCTTCACCTTGCTTCAATAGTCGCTTGTCTTTTAATTTCAAATCACACACAGTCGCAGGGCATCGCTCCATTCCAGTCGACAAGTCCATGTTTAACCAAGCGGACAAAGTCAGTTCATCCGTTTCCATTTGAAGTTCTCGCGTCTCTTTAAGACTGGGATGCCTCAAAGTGCGCACTTTGCTACAGATTGGCCAACAGACAGCACTTACTCGCACACTAGCGATCCTATCGATGGATATTTTCTGTTTACCAGAAACTCGTCTGCAACCGACCGACCGATTTAAATTGCACACAAGCTCACACGAAATGCTAAATAACCGTACAGGAGCTCAGTATTGGCAACATCTCCTTAGTGCGTGAACAGACAATTGGTTCAGTAAAAAAGGTGCACTTTAGCTTTACTTCTGGGAATGTCGACTTGACTGCCGTTGAAAGAGTTTTGGCTAGGCGCTCGGTAGCGGAATCCCGTTGAAAGGTAATCTTATAACTCCTTCTTCGACGCGGTTATAACCAGTTCCGGCTTGGGTTTTTCTTTAAAACATTTGCAATAAATTAATCAGGGTAGGTATGCTTACACATTATATTCTGTATAATGGCTAGTTCATCATCCGTGGTGCTCTGTGAGCAAATACCCCCTTATGTTGTGGTAACGCGGTGGATCCAGTTTCCCTTATATTTCAAGAGAACAAAACTGTGAAAATTCGTATACTGACCAATCCACGCATCTTTTCTGTATTCTTGCTGCTGGACGGAACTATCTGGCCTCGTAGTTAACAAAAAGCCATGTCGATCGCACCTTTCTGCCTCATAAGTAAATTGCATTGCTGTGTGGGCCTGCTTAAACCAATCGAGAACTTTATCCAGATTAATGCGTTTACCCAACACTACAAATATATCATTCAAACAGCTGTGGTAGCATTCAGCTGTGTTTAGCTCCGCTTGCGATTTGGTTCGCGCCAATTTGGCCATGAATATATCTGCAAACAACGGACCCGGGGGGTGCTATGACTACGCCGTCCTTTTGCCGGTAGAATGTACCATTAAATATGAATTACGCACCCCATGTGCACCGCAGCAATAAGCTTTGCAGCTCTAGCGCTGGCGTAAAAAATTTTCTTTCTTACTTCGTTATTTATTTGCATATGTAATCGATGGTTTCGATCAGCGAGGCTTTGGTGAAAAGCGAGACAACATCAACGGAGAGCATCACTATCTCATTAATTTTGACACCCATGGTGCTCTAGACGAAATGAAAACTGTCACGCATGCTGTAACTCACATTCTGTTGTCCAACCAACTCAAGCATTTCTATAAGTCATTGGGCAGCGGCATGGTAGGGGTAGTTAACCACTGACAGCATAGGACGAAGCGTGATGTCGGCGTTATAGGTTTTTGGTAAGTGATAATAATGGTGTAAAGTGGACATCGAGTAAAATGTCGGCTAAGATTGCCTAGCACAACGCTCGCTCTGACGAAACTTCACACCCGAAAACATGCAAAACAAGGTTTTGTCATTCCGGACTCGAAATCAGTGCACTTCCCATTTAGCAATGGAGGAGCTAGACCCCCTGACCTATGATGTTCGAGTCAGTGTACAAGGCGCCGTGTAATTTGGCCGTGCAGCAGGAAACGCAAGCAGATATCTAACTGTGCTACTGCGGAACACTCATCCGTTGTGTGATCGAGTGTAGCTTTGAAGCATCTCATGCGAAATTTAATTCAAGCCCCACATTTCAGTGCTCTACAAAAGGGTATAAATAGCCAAGCAAATTTATAATGTCATCAGCGCTAACAAAGGAAATTGTGTTGCTGTAGTGTAACCAAACTCTATGTACCTCATTTACCTGCGTGTCAGTGCAAGAATAGTGTTTCACCAGCTAGCAACTATTTGCTAGATTACAGCAGCAGCAGCAGCACTTTATCCTCCATGGCCCGTTGATTTAACTTACCGGTAGCAGGTCACCAGTCATGAGTTCTAGCTGGTCACTAGGCAGATGGAAACGCGCACAGCCTGCGTCCCTCCAAATTAAAAACGGTAACCTATTGCTTTCGGGGATGTGCACTGCCTGTTTGACCGGATGCAGCATTGAAGAAACAAATGCAAAGCAAAGACAAAAAATGGTTTTGAAATGTTTTACTCTTATTGAGGCCCATATGTGGCCTTTTTAAATTTTAGCTAGGCGGCTCTCGTGCTACGGTCGACTAATAGATGGAGGACCTATTTTTCCATCCACTTCTTATGTACCATAGTTTGGATCATTTGACTTTGCGTCCTTATATGAAAGTACAAAATAAAGGCTCAAATATTAAGGATTATGGTTCATCACCTAGTATACACATTCCAAATTGTCCATAACAATGATGTAGTTGGCTGTCTATTCTGTAAGCAGGATCTAAACTCTGAATTGGGACCTCTCTCACTCAGTCAGCAAACACTTCACATCGTTGTGTGCCAGCTCGAGGGTCGCCAGTTTATAAGAGTTGAATGGCATAGGTAAGTGTAACTCACATGCAGACACGCTCCGACAATCATCACAGGCCCGCAAATGCATTCTGCGGCCGTTTCATTTTGTCGGGAACCGTCAGTAGTGCACATTCCAGCTGACATCTGTAGTTCTCGAACACAAAACTCGACTGTTGCAAAACTGTGATTGAAGTCACCCAGCTAGGGAGGATGGCAACGACCGTCTTGACTGTTACTAGATGTGATGTAGCTCCGCTGTCTATCACTTGACTCGCCTGTTACTTCCTTGCGGAGGTCAAGGTAGCCGATTAACCAAACCACAGGCTTACCAAATGTAAGTCGTCAACTAACTTTTGACATTATAGGCACTTTGGTCTGCTTACTTATCACAAGATAGTATTAGGGAGAGTTGAATAGGGTAGGTAGAGAGTAACCAAATGTAGACTCACTCAGACAGCCATCACACGCCTGGAAAGGTACCGTATTATCTTTTCATCCTTTCGGGAACCGCCAGTAGTGCGCATTCCATCTGGCCCGGTTGGGGTTCGAACCCGCAGCTCAACTGTGGCCAGTTAGTGGTTGGAAACACTGAAATATATGGGATAGATGGTATAAATAGCTGACTATACAGTCGAGTTTCGAGTTGGGGCCGTACAAGGGTCAGATGAAACGCGCACTACTGACGATTCCCGAAAAGATGACACGGCCGCACAATGATTATCTGGGCCTGTACCTCATCCGTTTCTAAAGACGAGCTGGGTGTTGCAAATATTCAACAAGTTTGCTAAGGTGTTTAAGGCTCTATGGCTGTTCCGTTAGACGAAGTATCACAAAAGAACATACATGATTGTTCTCATACATACAAGACAACACACACAGTAAACTTCGCATCCAGCTTGCTACGTTGTCCCTCTTCGGTACTCTTAATTACTGCCTACGAGGCAGTTTTAGCTGAACCGTCAAGTACTATGTGAACCCTTTATTGATTATCAACTGTTCTTTGAGGGCTGTCTAACTTCGTTTTTTATTCAGGCTTTGCCTAGAAGTTATTTCTATTTCCGTTCATACGTCGGTAAAAGCAAGACCCTTGATGCCACGTTAACGAATCTAAAAATGGTATAGTGAATTGGGATCAAATGTTCTCTTGAATTTACCCATAGGGGTTATGTAGCATATCAGCAGCAAGTAGAAACGAAACCTTAGATTATTTGGTGCTGTTTACATTTGGTTTTAAATCTACTTAGCCACAATCTTTTTGCTGAATGAAGTTAGATTTGGAAGTGATGACCAGTAAGTCAAAGTTTAGAACATGCAATCTAATTATGCCAGCTAGCATAATTTATGAAAAAAGATGAATGAGTGAGTCGCGAGCAGTCATAGTCTCCTATACGCCAAAAGACATCAGAGACGTTCAGCCTTGTACAGGTTGTGTGGGTGAACAGCCTAACATTAGCCCCAAAACTGTTTCCTTCAGCAGTAAAATCCGGTTGGCTTTCTAATCGGAAATCGATTTCGCAAATATTTTTCCCTACACTTTACCCAACATACCGATTCATATTTTTGCTTCCTCCATGAAAAGCCGGTTCGAGTGATTTCGTTTGGACAAGTCGCAATGAAACAGCCAACTTCAACTACATTGCATGGTCCGGAGGGGCGGGACCTGGCGGTTGTATTGCATTCAAATTTCGCACTGAATATTCGACCATTTCGTCTAGGTGGAACATGACATTTGAGGTGGAAAACATTGATTGCTCACAACCAAATTCATACTACTGTGAACATGAAGGTGAGCTTTGTTTGATTTACTTCTGCCTTGCAGTATTCGCCCAGTTTAATGCACCCATGGAGATTGATTCATACTGCTTTGTTTTGATTTCTCTTGGCAAATTGTAGCTATCAAGAGAATGCTATAGGTATAATAAATCTATATGTACATGGTTAGTGAACAGGCAGGATTAAATCCAACACAGCTTAAGGCGGTTACTTATGATGTGGTCCACACAGAACCATATTACCAGGCAGATACAAATACGTCTTAATGTGACTGAAACTTAATAGGTTGAGAGGATGAATACGATTGAAAACAATGAGAGCTAGCAAAAACCGGGTACCCCATATCCGTATTTTATGCAAGTGGTTCGCTCGAGTTGGCCGTTCTGCAGGCATAAAATTATCGAGCTTCATGCTGTAGACGTATGTGGAGCAAACCATTCAAAACTGACAGTAAGGTAACATCGCAAACGTAAACGTTAAAACTGTCTTGACGGTAATAATTGAGGCGTCTTCACCAGGATCAAGTAAAAGGATAAACTGAAGATTGAAAAAATGTTTCGGGCTGAGGATAAATTAACACTTGATCCCGGTTGCACCTTAACAGGAAATGCTCCTGAAGCAAGTTAACTAACCAGTAACCCCCGAATCTATTTTGGTGTGAAGCAGGTAACCTAACTTTTCCGAGTGATAATGTAAAATGCTACCAGTTGTGTTAGGTATATAAGAGGCCTTAGGATCAAGTCTTGCAGTGGAATCGCACGTGTTCGATCGCTTTGGGTTCAAGCTTGTGAGGCATCTCTTGTAGGAGGTAATACAAAACCAGTTCATATAAATCCAAACTTGTGATAACGGTAAACGATCGCGCCGCAAACAGTCGTGGACATCCGTGACACCGGCTCGGAAGAGAGAAAAATAGACCAGGCCTACTTATTTCTGTATGCGGCAAGGAACAGGACTGTAAACATGAATGGCGTGCTACATATGCATAACAAGTGTAGTGCAGAAAGCAATAGGGCAGTTAGAGTCGGTGGCTGTACAGGAAAGGGGCAATCCAATTTCCTGCGGATGGTCATATCGAGAAGGACAGGCAGGAGCAAGCAGTAGGTGATAAATTTGGTAAGCTTCCTTAGCACTGAAATATGTGTCGCCTGCGCATACTAGCTTTACCACTGTGCAATAAATCCAAAGATACATCAGACTCGTTTGCAATCGGTTGTGGGTTATTAAGCACAGCATTCACAAGACGGTTCACCAAACAAAACTAATCTCTTAAAGTAAGCAGTGGAATGAGAGTTGGGTGTTTATCACGCAGTAACACATTGCCATCGCTTTAGCATTAATGTTAAAAAGAGATGAGTGCGTATCTCACCACCAAAGTCAAAGTGTATCGTTATGGTTTTTCGCGAAAGGAGGTAACCTAGACAGACGACGTGCTTAAGATAACTCCCCAGAAAGTTCACCGGAATGCTTTACTAGCCGAATCATTTGAACTCATAGGATACAAATAATTGTCTGAATGCATAATTTTCTGTATGTTGGCTTACCTGTTTTCATGTATGGATTCGCATTCTGTCCACATTAAAGAGCTCGCTAACGAAAGTTTACTATCCGTGTTATACTGGAGCCATAGTAAATTAAAAGACCTATTTATCAGTAGTTTAGACTTGTGCTTTAGAAAAGCCGGTTACACCTCACCGCTCACCCCTACGTCAAAAGGCACGAAAGCAAACTCGCTATCTGATCGCACGACAAAATGAACTGATAGAGCAAAAAATTAAGAAACAGAGGATGAAATTTTACATTGCTTGTGTGTGATATGAACCTACTACTAAAAATAAAACAAAAGCAAAGTAGCGAACGCAGATATACTGCTGTCGACACGTACAGTAGTTTATATAAATAAGCAAATACACAGCATACGCCATGTGCTTGCAATGCACAGTCCAACTGAGCGGCCCGACTCATCTGAACAGGGGGTTCGCATAAAGTAGCTTAGTGTTCGCGCTTTCAAGAGAGTTCCCAAAGTGAATTTTTTGGTGACTGACAAGTTGCATCTATTATAAAGATTGTGACTTCAGTAAGAATAATAAATGCAGATAAAGTCAAAACTGAAAGAAAACGTCTGGCTTTCGGGGACTTGCTTCCGTGCATAATAGCGCATAGTATGATTTCACTGCTAATTCCATACCGCATCCAGATGTTTATAGGTGTGTCTTAAAGACAAGTACTCCATAAGCGCTTTAATGTATCTTAAGACTTCTGTTATATGTATACAGTATGAGCACGCACTCAGCCCGTTCCGCCTTCCAGCTTCTTAAAGTAAGGCAATTTTCTCCCACTTTAATGAGACTATAGCCTTGCAATGGGGCATTATTTACTTTGGAAGCTTTAATTCAACACTTAAAGAGAACCGCCTGGTTTTGGCAAATATTGAAAGAAGGATGCATAGGAAATAAGATAAAGCCAAGTTGCAGCGGGTTTACCAAAAGCAGATAGATAATTGAGTGATCCATATGCAAGGCGGGACTAACATATAGTTTTTATATTCTTCCATCGGTTGTATGTCTTGGAAAAGTAGCGAATTTGACCTCGTCATAAAGAGAGATTTGCCAAATGTTTCTGTGCAGCTGATTACAGGAGCGACGACATATTTAGCATTGTAGATCGAATGTAACCATCAGAAGTATGGATATAAATATTACGCATCGGTTGGTTTAAATTGGTCGTACGGATAGTTCTTTTATTCATACCAATAAATTATTGTTGTTGCTGCTCGTGGATAATTAACTTCAGGACACATCCATTAAAGTAGTTTATGGCAGGAAGTAAATAAGAATAACTTAATGTGCATGAAAGATCAAGTTGTAGGGTTTACTGCCTGCTGAAACCAACAGTTGCGGTAAACATTGTACTACGGCTTATAACCATCTGGATCCGATTTAATGAGATGACTCTATCATTTATGGCGCCCTTAATAATTTGCCCTCATTCCTTAAAGTCAATTACGGGTAAAGCAACCTACAAAATATTTTAGTGAATTCATTTTTGCCCATCGCGTTAGGAACCTTTATTCTATCACTTGCTGTATTAATTCAGAAATACATTTCAAATACTTTTTCTGTAGTTTTGCCACTATACTAAAGTACTGTTATTTTTTTGGCATCGTACTTGCTAACTCTTTTAGTCGCAAACCGAGAGTAGAGGAATGTACTATAGTTTCGATGGCGCTACAACAACGGTTGTTTACTTTCATCGGCCGCAGTCAGATCAGACCAATCTCATGTGCTTGGCAGAGATCCATGAATGAGACCATAGTTGGAAAGCGTAGGGGCATTTTGTTAAACCACCACTCCATGGATCATTCCTCCTAGATTTGCAGTATATCATAAAAAAGTAATTCAATAAGTTAGGTGTAATAGTTGAGAACATGAAATTTACTGTGTATTTAAAAATAAAGATTTTAAAGAGAAGCCCGATACTATTTCTGACACTGACCACCACATGTTTAGTGTGCTAAGTGAAGTTTAATGAAATCTAATGCTAGTCTCAAATCATGACTAGCATGATATTTGTAGAGTGGTTTGCAAGGAATGGTCCAGGACCAAATTCTCACCCGTAACATGTCACGTGGCACCTTTCAACAGAGGTCGCCACTTTCTGCTTGGAACACGCCAATCCACGTGACCACAAGTCACGACATTTATTGCGGTTAATGTCACTGTCGCAGAGCGATTCAAAGGTAAAAACAATATTGTTACCACTGGAAAAGGAAAAAAAGGATGATCAGAAGGGAATATATAGTAGGTCATTAGTGTATAAAATAAAACACAGAAGATTGGGGTGCTATTCAACTACAACGATTTCTCACTAGTCATTGCTCATTGTCCTGTCTTATAGCGTCAATCAATTTTTGTTGTCCTGCAAACACAATTCATCAGGCTTAACATGCCCAACTTTCTCATGCTTTGTCTAGGTTAAAGCTGCAAGTCGCTAATGTTTGGTCGCATAAATTGTCTGTTGCTCACCTGCTTCATATGATGAGGTACACATTGTGTGGGTCGTACTTTGTTCACGCTGGGTTTACACCTCAAGTGTGGCCAGATGCCCTCGAGCTCCGTGCTTTTGCCTTCAGCGCATTTGCCGCGGGATGCTCACCCGCTGCATTTTGTGTCGATCCACATCCTTCTCTTCCTTGTCCAGGCCGCATTTCATGCGCCTTGGAACAGCGAATGCGGCTTCGTCCTCCCCACCGGTGCAATCGTGCTCGGGCTACGTTGGCGGAGCTGCACTGGCCATATGTCCATCGGATACTCATCGAAATGTTTCACCAGACCCATCAGCAACCACCAAATATAAAAAGGAGAGACCGCGAAGTTCGAACATAACCTTCTTACGTTGTCTAAACCACGCCTTCGAAATACAACTATTGCGAAAGTAAAATATCTAGATACATACAGACGCACAAAGAATAAAGTACAAGGATATATGACGGGCAAAAGAGCGGTTGCTCGAAAGTCCGTTAGGATGACCGAAGTGAGGAGTCTGCAACCAAAGGTAAAGGGAGAAATTTGGGTTTTACATGACTCCCTAAGCTATTCGCGTGAACATGGATGTAGGTTTTCCCACCACTATGTTACGGGAAAGGTAAGTAAGCGCCTACTTTGGTTTGAGATAGTTTATCTTCTGAAGGAAATGGATCATATCGCCTAATGCAAGTTGGATAGCGTGCCGTCAAGGCGGTTTCTCAAAAGAGTTAATATTGGGACTATAATGACGTGGTCTGGACAACCAAAGAGAAAAAACATTTTTAAACCATCAAATTGACTGTACTGAGGAGCCAGATTGAGTTGGTGGCCTCTCCGTTTGGTATTGTGGCTGCTGTAACAGGCTACGACAAGCATGAGTTGAGATCATTAGTATTGGGTTAGCCTTGATGAGGTTTTCTCGCTGACGCCGATATTTACTGCTGCATAATCCCTGGGTTTGCGGTCTGTGTTGACATGGGACGTAGAA